GCAATTACTGTTCTTGCCCATTTCAGGTGGTAAGAAGGTTATGTGTCTGAAAGGCAGAGCTTGATACTGATTAGTCATTTTATTTTTAAATTTACAGATTTAACTTGGATCCAGAAAAAAAATGTACAGACAGCATGCTGTGGGAAGCTTTGGAAATAGCACAACTAAAGCATGTGGTGAAAGCTTTACCTGGGGGACTAGGTAATAATTTCCTCATCTGTGGAGGGATCTGTATTAAAACACTTCTGTTTGAACCTTAACTAGTACATAGTACAAAACGTGCAAATAGTATTGTAGAGCTGTTATTACTTTTGATCAGGACTCTTTTTGTAGAAAAAGCCCAGCAGGAACTCATTAGCATAATAGGCCACACCCAAACAGCAGAAACCCATTAGCATATTAGGCCACACCCCCATGTTGCCAGAAGTGTGGTCATCCAGCCACACCCACCTTTTGCTTCTTATCCTGCTTAACTTGTTTGTTGTCAAAACAGTTTTGACAAAACCAATAAAAACATTATGTTTTTTAAAAGTTTCAACTGAAGAACAACAACAACAATTACAATTTTGTTTACTCCAGATGCCATTGTCACAGAAGGTGGAGAAAATTTCAGCCAAGGGCAAAGACAGCTCTTCTGCTTAGCCAGGGCATTTGTACGGAAGACAAGTATCTTCATCATGGATGAAGCCACCGCTTCTATCGACATGGCAACTGTGAGTTCATTGTTAAGCTTTATTTACAAATGACAGGAAGTAAAACTTGGTGGGCTTTTTAGTAGTAATTAGTTGGTTTGTAATAATTGATTCCATTTTATGTAAATAGCTGAATTAATGGAAACATTACCTGTTTATGTAGGAAAACATTCTTCAGAAGGTTGTGATGACTGCATTTGCTGATCGTACTGTAGTAACAATTGCAGTAAGTATACACTATATTTTGCTACAGAAGATCTAAGTATCTGTAATGTTATTTCAAGTCTTCGATTAGCCGGATCTCTTGATTTGTTGTCACTCGCTTGTTACATAATCTACCCAATTAAAGTGAAAAGTTTTCTTTCATTTTCACTATATTATAACATATTTCATATCAGTGTACAGTTTCGTATAAGAAAATATATAATCCAAAAATTCTCGGGTTTTTGTTAAAAAAAATTAGCAGGATCAATTGCAAATGTGTTTGTAGGCGAAAGTCATTTCTCTTAGTTTAGGCATATTGCAAAACCAAATAAATGTAGCCCATGCATAATCTTGTAAACTTCAATCATTCTCAGAACTAATGAGAATGTCCAGTAATTTCTACCAGCAGAGAACAACCAACACAGAAAAAAGGTGAGGGCCGGCAATTTTGAGTTCAACGAGAGCTGAAAAGCAGTGACAGAAGTCCGTTGTATTTTGAGAACTGCCCTGAAGTGATGTCATTTGGGATTTTCTGCAAAGCTGATGGTTTGTTCATGACTTGTTTGTTTCGGACGTAACATGAACTGGGATCCCCAACTGGTGTGTGTGTATTATGAAGTGTTTATTGCAGCTATTGAATAAAACTGAAATGCCAGTAGCTAAGCAGGTAAAGTACTTGGGTGGGTGAAATTAGTAAAAAGCTTCAAGCAGCTACTATTCTGCTGAGCCCCTATCTATACCTTGTGGCTAATAGCCACTGATGGACCTCTGCTCCATATGCCTATCTAATTCCCTTTTGAAGCCGTCCATGCTTGTAGCCACCAGCACTTCCTGTGGCAGTGAATTCCATGTGTGAATCACTCTTTGGGTGAAGAAATACTTCCTTTTATCCGTTCTAACCCGACCGCTCAGCAATTTCATGGAGTGCCCACGAGTTCTTGTATTGTGAGAAAGGGAGAAAAGTACTTCTTTCTCTACCTGTTCTTTCCCATGCATAATCTTGTAAACTTCAATCATTCTCAGAACTAATGAGAATGTCCAGTAATTTCTACCAGCAGAGAACAACCAACACAGAAAAAAGGTGAGGGCCGGCAATTTTGAGTTCAACGAGAGCTGAGAAGCAGTGACAGAAGTCCCATATGATCAGGGTTTATGAAAGACATGGCAGAAAAAGTTTAAATAGAAGTGCCAAGTAACTCCCTAGATCAGGATGCAGGCTGCACTCAGAATGAAATAATCAGATCTGTCTTTTGAAGCCAGTATGAATTATGTAGATGTATTTCTATCTTTGGCAATTATATTTATAATTTTTGTTATGTCTGTTTGCTTTGCAGCATCGGGTGAACACTATCCTTAATGCGGATATGGTTATTGTAATGAAGAGAGGAGTTATTCTAGAATATGAAAAACCAGAGATTCTGCTGGAGCAAGAAGGCAGCGTGTTTGCTTCCTTTGTCCAAGCAGACAAGTAGATTAGTAAATTTCAGCTCTGGAAGAGCAGTTTTAGTATCCATTATCTAAACATGTAAATTACCTGTAAATAAATATTATTTACCAATAAATTACTTTGTTTTTCCACTCTTGAGAAATCGGAATCTGTTTTACCACTTAATTATGACTGGTTGTCTTTGCCTGTTCAATTTTTTGAGCCCTAGAGTTCCTAGACAGTAATTATTGTTTACTTGTTGGTACCTGCATCTCAGTTTGATTCACCCCTAAAATTGATTGCAAACCAAAGAATTTTAAAAAGCAAAGTTACAAAATCAGGTTTAGATTATGTAGAATCTTAAATAAGGTTCCTCAAATCTTCAAAATTCAAATCCAGAATAACAGCCTCACACCTGTCCAGCACTTGTTCATGCCTAATCAGCAACTACTCTAAATAGTTCCATAATTGTGGAGCAACCAAAAATACCTCCAAATGTATTGTAGGCCTCTAGACATGTTACCTCTGTTTGCATCCAGATTGCAGCTTCATATTTCAAGACTTTGAAGAATTAAGTGGAAATGTTCAGGAAACTGTGCTGCTGAAAGTAGCCATGATACCTTATATGACTGGCTAAGTATCAGGTTGGACGGACCTTGGGGGTTCGCTTCAGCTTGCAAATTAACGATGCAACCACAGACACAGCTCCCATCAGCAGTGGAAATATGTTAAAACAGTTTGTTTAATAGATAAAACAGTCTTTACACTCACGGGCTGTGTGCAGGGCAGAAAACAGCCCTCGTTGAAGCCGTCGGCATTAAAACTCGTAACTTACAAAGATAAAATGACCATTCATAAAAGGAAGCTGCAGCTTTTCACCAATCATTCCTCGCAGCATATTACATAGCCAAGTCAGCCAGGGAAGGCGATCTGGGCTGTCTTCCAGGACAATTCATCACATCAACGCCAAAGAAACTCTGGTGCGTCCTGTAACCATAATAATCCTGTCTGACTAAAGCTCCCTTTAGATAATGAAACCTTGCAGCTGCTGGTAATTACCACGGCACGCAGCCTCCCCCCCCCAAAGGTAGAATCCTGCCCAAACTTACGCTCTGTTCTGATCACTGGGGCTTAACAATTTGTAAACTCATTTCTCTCATCCCTTACACTAAGCTTTTCCTTGTATTAGTTGTTCAAGCACTCATAATAATCCCCAGGGAAATGATATATTTCCTAGTGAGTTCAATGGCAAAATTCCCATTAGGACTGAGGAAGTGAATGAGAAAATTGATCAACCTCTAATCCTGGGGGTTCCGGACTGTGTTTCTGTTGCTGCTCTGAGAGAAGAGTTTGCACTGAGATCACTGGAGGTCACATGCCTGGTTCCAAGTTATGAAAAGGAAGGTTCTCTTTTCTATCAATGGCTTTGGGCTACTAGCCAGAGATAAGCAAGATCATTATGAGAGCGGATGGTCCAACTTATTGATGAAAAAATAAGGATGCTAGGGATAGAAATGGAGTTGGGTAAAGTTGCAGAAATTTCTTTTTTTAAAAAAGAGAATAGTTTAGTTAGACAGCATATGTACCCCCCTCCCCTGCCATCCCTGCCATTTTGTTTTGGGTTTTTTTTAAGCCCCCGGAGGGGATTTTTTATTGATTTTTTAAACACTACAAAAACTAGAACAGAAAAGGGGGAAAGGAAAAAAAAGGGAAAGGGAAAGCTACATATAAGGGAGAAAGTAAAGAACCCACTACTAACTAAAAACCCAAGATAGGCGATCTCCAACTAGCTTTTTATACTTCATTCAGACTTTTCATCTTTGTACTTCTTATGAACTGTGTCAATCTTTTAACCCTTTTAACCATCCCCAGTTACATTTAATTGCCCAATAACAGTGCCCCCCATCATCCCCTAGAACCATCCCTGCCATTTTGAACCTGTAGTAGAGCATTTTTTTAAAATGCTGTAGTGATGTTTTATTTAGCACTGTAGAATATGCCATAAAATACTGGAGGAAAGTTATGCCCTAAGAATATAAAGTAGAAGAAGAAGAAGAAGAAGACGAGGAGGAGGAGGAGGAGATTGGATTTATACCCTGCCCTTCACTACTCGAAGGTGTCAACAGACAGATGTGTGGTTTTTTTCATGGTGGGGGGGTGCTTCAGTCACTCCTAAGCTCTTCTTTCAATTTCAATTTCAATTTCATTTTTAAATAGTAAGTCCATCTGCAGAAACAAGATTGGGGGGGACATACAGATCAGAGGCCTTTTAAAAATTTCCTTCTGCTCTGTGTGCAGCTCAGAAAGAACATTGGCAAGAAATCTGCACACCGTACATGTTCATGCTCTTCATTTGGCTGTTACTTAAAATGGTTTGGTACAGTTTCAAAGGGACAACTAACTGGGATGTATAAGGAATGACAAGATTGCCCATTGGAAACAATGGGAGAGGCTTGAAGGCCCAATGGAGATAATGGGAGCCAGGAATGCTAGTTGAGTTGTATGGACTCCATTGAAATATCATTACAGCGCAAAAATGTTGCAGTGAAAATGCAGAATGAATTTTCATTGCAATGTCTGTAGGCGCAGATAGACTCTTCTGGGACTGGAATGAAGGACCTCAGAGTGGAATGACGGTCCCCAGGAACAGAGTCAGTGCTCTTGGGACTGGAATGATAGCCCTACAGAGTGGAATGGCAGCCCTTGGAAGTAGCAGAAGTATTCTGGGATGGGAATGACAGACCCTGTGTCTGTGGTCGTCACTACATTCTCTGGCAGCTAATTCCACATTTTAATCACTTGTCTAAAGAAAACGTTCATACTGAATCTACTCCCCATCTGTTTCATTGGATGGCCTTGCGTTGTACTATTTGGGGAGAGGGAGAAAAATTATCTTTGTGAGCTCTCTCCACCCCATGCATAATTTTATAAACCTTTATCACGTCCACACACACCCCTCACTCATCTCTTTTCTAAAGTCCCAGACTCGTCAGCCTTTCTTCATAGGGAAAGTGCTCTAACCCCCTAATCATCTTGGTTGCCCTCCTCTGTACTTGTTCCGCTCTGCGATGTCCTTTTCGAGATACAGTGACCCAAACTGTACACAGTATTTCAGTCTAGGCCGCACAGAGGCATTATAATATCAGCTGTTTTATTTTTAATCCCCTTCCTAATCCTTAATTTAGTGTTTGCCTTTTTCACTGCTACAGCACATTGGGCTGACATTTTCACTGAGCTATCTACTACAACCCCAATATCTTTTTTCCCCATCTGTCTCAGCAAGTTCAGACTCCATTAGCCTACACTTGAACGTAACATTTTTTGTTCCACTGTGCATCACCTTACACTTACCAACATTGAACTTCATTTGCCACATTGTTGCCCAGTCACCCAGTTTGTGGAGGTCCTCTTGCAGCTCTTCACAGTCAGCCTTGGTTTTCACCATCCTGAATAATTTTGTGTCATCTGCATACTTGGGCCACTATACTACTCAACCCTAGTTCCAGATGATTTATGAATAAATTAAATAGTACCATCCCTAATCATTGTGGGACCCCGCTGCTTGCTTCTGTCATTGTGAAAGAGAGTCCATTTATTCACACTCTTTACTTCCTTACATTTAACCTTTTTTTAAAATCATAAAATAACCTGTCTACTTATCCCATGACTGCTAAATTTACTCAGGAGTCTTTGGTGAGATAACTTTTCAAAAGCCTTTCAAAAGTCCAGGTATATAATGTCTACTTCAAAAGCTTGGTGAGGCAGGACTTCCCTCTGCAGATGCCATGGTGATTTTCATCTGCAGACTTTGTTCCTCTATGTGCCTGATAATTTGATCTTTGATTAGTCCAGCCCTGACAGGGACGGTCATGTCCGGACTTGTCCAGGGACAAACCTCAAGCTTCGCGCCTAAAGACAATGGGACAGGAGGATCCTAGCCCGCCCTATCAGAGGGCTAGGTCCCAGAACGTGAGGCCAATAGGTCTCTTGGTCACTGTAAATAGCCTATCGGGAAGTGGTGTGTGTGTTGTGGTGGTGGGTTCTGAGGGAATATAAGCCGGCCTGCGAGTCGGCCAAAGTGTCTAGTTCCTGACTGAATAAAGTATGCTTTGCTGAAATCACCCTCCGTCCGCATACTTTTCACATATTCAAAAGTTAAAACATTTTAAACATTTAGAACCATCAGATAACCTAAGTGCTAGTGATAGTAATCGTCTTTCAGTGATTAAGATGGCATACTATATAGTATACAAACTTTTTAGTGATTAAAAATATTATTAGAATAATGTATAGTGGGTATGCCGTCTCAGTTCTGTCTCATCCTACCCTGTCTTCCTATTCTCGCATTTTATAATAAAACAATCTCACTTCGTGTCCTAAAGATGCACGTAGAAACAGTTTCCGCCGACTGAAATAGCACCAACCCACGCTGCCTCAACAATATCTTCTGCAGTTGCTTCGAATACCCACTCAGTGCCATCAGTACTTGTGTCATTCTGTGCACCATCGTAATAATCATTGGCAGACATGGACACAGACTGTATTTTGTATGACATTTTCTTTCTTGTATTACCAGCATCACCTATATCCCCCCACCGCCCCACCCCCCCAATATGAAAGCACAGTTGGAGAAACCTTCTTGCACTAGACCATACTTTTCATGTGGTTTTCCTTTCTTGTAGTCAGCCAGCTGAAAACTACCACTGAGCATTTTGCAATATCTCCCTCCCCACTTTGCAAAAGAGTGCAGAAGGGAAATGAAAGGAAGCAAAGGAGAGGGGCGGGGATAAAAAGGAGGAAAGCCTGAAGGAGGGATGGAACCATAAGGCCAGCTGCCTGCCGGTCCTCCTGATCCTCCAGTGGATGCCCTTTCATTTGAATGAAGGAAACTAATACCAGGGCCTACCCTAAAACAAGGGGCTGCGGTGGCTCAAGTGGTTGAGACGCTGAACTGCAGGCCGTGGAAGGTTAGTAGTTCAGCAGTTCGAGACCCAAGTGTGCCGCATGACGGAGTGAGCTCCCGTCTCTGGTCCCAGCTCCTGCCAA